GGCGCGGCGATTTCGGGGAAGACGCCCTGCACGTGCTGGCCCTCGTCCTCGTAGACGCCCGTGACGATGGGCGCCACGGCCGGGTGCAGCGACAGGAGCCTCTCCGCGAGCGACGTGCCGCTGTGGTGCCTGGGCGGGAAAAAGGGCGCGACGTTCCCAAAGGCTCCTCTCTCGGCCGCGTTCCACTCGTTTCGTCCGATTTTGGGACGAGCGATCATTCCTCGGAGCGCTCTCGAAGCGCGGATGCTTGTGTTGGAACGCGCGCGCGCGGAATACTCGCAGCGACGTTGAATCACCCTCGTGCGGCCCGGAGTGGCGCAGGCCGCGCACGAAGAGCCAGGCCGCGCGCCGCTTCGCGCACTCCGCCGTCTCCTGCGGCGGCACGGAGCGCCTGCGACTGCGCGGCCGCCTCGTCGGCGCCTTCGGCGCCGGCGTCGGCCGGTGCGCGCGCGGGTCCGGCTTCGAATTGCGCACTTTTCGCTTCGTCGGCGGCGGTTTCGGCTTCGGTCCGCGGCTCGCCGGGTGTGCCGGCTTGTGCGTCTTGGGCACCCAGCGCTCGGTCCACGTGACACGCTGCGCCGAGCGTTGCGTCTCGGCTGCCGTGGAGCGCGGCGCGATCGCGGACCCGACGACCAGCCCCGCCGCCGCGGCGACGACGATGATCACGGCGACCATGGAGCGGCTGCGATCGATCGCGGGCGGATCATTGTCGAGAGCGAGGGCGGCTTTGACCAAGGAGCGGTGGCGCTCGATCAGGGGCTCTGCGGTTGGCATCGGCAGCCCCGCTAGGAATGCCTAGTCCAGCACCATCGCAAGCAAGGTGCTCCCGGCTAGTTGACGCTGTCGACGGCACCGTCGGCGAAATCGCTGGGACGGCTGTCGAGCTGGTCGCCGCCGCCCGGGCACCATGCTGTCCGTGCGGGAGGCGGGCGTGAACGACCTGCTGCAGATGCAGCAGACGAACCTCTGGTGCCTGCCGGAGAACTACAACCTCAAGTACTACTTCTACCACCTCCTGTCCTGGCCCCAGCTCCTCTACGTCGCCGAGGACCACAAGGGCAAGGCCGTGGGCTACGTCCTCGCGAAGATGGAGGAGGACGACGTGCCGCCCCACGGCCACATCACGTCGCTGTCCGTGCTCCGGACGCACCGCAAGTGCGGCCTCGCGACGAAGCTCATGCGGAGCAGCCACGAGCGCATGGTCGAGACGTTCGACGCGGCGCACGTCGCGCTCCACGTGCGCCGGTCGAACCGCGCGGCCTTCCACCTCTACAGCCAGACGCTCAACTACACGATCCGCGACGTCGAGAAGGGCTACTACGCCGACGGCGAGGACGCGTACGACATGCGCAAGACCTTCGCCGAGGGCAAGGCGGGCGTCAAGGAGGCGCTGGGCGCCGAGGGCGCGGCGCCGGCCGGGGCGTCGGAGGCGCCGACGGCGCCGCCGTCGCCCAAGGACGTCGGCCTCCCGCCGCCGCCCGCCGCGCCCGCCGACGCCGGCGGCGCCGCGGCGAACCCGCCCGAGCCGCCCGCCTGAGCGCGCGCGCGTCGGACGACGAGGCGGCGATCCGAGAGAGAGACGCCGCGCAATCTTACGTTTCTCTCCCGAGTTCATTGGCGGCTCGCTTCGGGCAACTTGCAGTGATTGTTGAGGCTTTGTTGCAGTACTGCACGATGTCTAGGAGCGTAGCCTTCGCGGACGCCGACGGCGCGACGCGCGCCCTTGCGGAGCTCGCGACGAGCGACGCGGCGTCGCCGGACGCCGACGGCGCGACGCGCGCCCTCGCGGAGCTCGCGACGAGCGACGCGGCGTCGCCGGCGGAGGAGGCGCCCAAGCCCAAGGCGACGTCGCTGTTCAAGAAGAAGAAGGGCAAGAAGGCCTTTGGGTCGAAGGCCGTCCTCGAGGCGCCGCCCAAGGCGCCGAAGCCGGCGCGCGCGCCCGCGCCCGCCGCGGCGACGTCCGCGGCGTCGTTCGCGGCGTCCGCGCGCCGCGCCGCCGACATCGGCGCGCAGAACAACTGCTCGCTCGAGGCGCTCGCGGTCGCGCTCCACGCCGCGCGGCCCTTCGCCGAGGCCTTTGGGCGCGCCGCGCCGGGCGGGTCGGGCCCGGACGCGGACGCCGTCGCCGCGCTGCGCCTCGTCTTCGCGGGCGTCGGGAAAAAAGAGGCGCCGTCGGGCCCGAACGAGGCGCTGCGGCAGGCGCTCGCGTCGCGCGGCGGCGGCGACCTGGCCCGGGCCTTCGGCTACGCCGACGCCGCGGAGGTCTTCGAGGCGCTCGTCCGGGCGCTCGACGGCGGCGGCGCCCCGGGGGCCGCGGCGGCGCTCAAGACGGACGGCTACTCCCTCGTGAAGATGCCGTGCCTCATCTGCGGCGGCGACGAGGCACCCTACCAGCCGCCGACGTCCATCGCGTCGGTCGTGTGCGTCGCGCAGGACGTCGTCCGCCTGCACGCGGAGGAGCCCGAGGCGCCCTTCCACGACCTCGTGCGGCGGTCGCGCGCGCCGGAGCCGCTGAGCTGCCCCGTCACCGGCGAGCGGACCGTCGCCGTCGCCGCGCGCGCCGCGGCGCCCGCGCGCGTCCTCGCGCTCAACCTGAACTGGGCGCCGACGGGCGCGCGCCACGACGACGTCGCGGCCGTGCTCCGCGGCGCGCTCTG